CTCGTCGGATCTCTCTGATTTTCCCTGCTTAGCGCTCATTTCTCTCTTTCTCCATCTTTTCTCGTAATTCTGATAAGTGCTTCTGAGAAATTTGTTAACTTTCCCAGACAATTCCTCTATTCACCTTCTTTGCATTCTGGTCTCGTAGATCTCTCTGCTTTGATTTCTGGAAGCTTCTCCAGCTGATTAGATCTCTGTAAGTGCGCGAAAAGACCCTTTTCGTTTGATTTAATTTAGGTCTTTCGTTTTTGATTTAGGGCTGAGATAAAAACGTGTGATTTTTCTAGGGTTGTGTTTCCTTATTTGAGGAATTGATAATGAAATCTTTATCTGGTTTGTGAAATGATCGTATACAGATTAGTTGGTTAGTTCAAAGTTCTGCATAATGGATAAGGAGAAATCTCCTGCACCTCCAAGTGGTGGTCTTCCTCCTCCATCAGGTCGTTACTCTGCGTTTTCACCAAATGGAAGTGGCTTTGCTATGAAACCTGAATCATCTTTTCCTTCTCACTTGACTCCAAGTGGGAGCAGCTCAGATGCGGCTAATAGATTCAGCCACGATATAAGCCGAATGCCGGATAATCCGCCTAAGAATATTGGACATCGACGAGCTCATTCGGAAATCCTCACCCTTCCTGATGATTTGAGCTTTGATAGTGATCTTGGTGTGGTTGGTGCTGCTGATGGACCGTCTTTCTCTGATGACACGGATGAGGACTTAATGTATATGTATCTTGATATGGATAAATTCAATTCTTCGGCCACGTCTTCTTCTCAAATGGGTGAGCCATCAGAACCGGTTTGGAGGAATGAGTTAGGAACGACTTCTAATGTTCAGAGTATGCCCGGTAGCTCTAGTGAAAGACCGAGGATCAGGCATCAACACAGTCAATCGATGGATGGTTCAACAACTATCAAGCCTGAGATGCTTATGTCTGGAAATGAAGATGTGTCTGGAGTTGACTCTAAGAAAGCTATTTCTGCTGCTAAACTTTCTGAGCTTGCTCTCATTGATCCAAAACGTGCTAAGAGGTATTATTTGTAGATTTTTTACTCAGTTTTTCCTTAGATGTTTGCTGTTAAGAAGCTGTAAATAGTTTTGATGAAACTTGATAAAATAGTTGCTACCCTGTTAGTTCTAGGTTTGTCGACAAAGAGAACAGTTTGTGGTTTATGATTCTCATTAAGCTTCTTCATCTGTTTCAAGGCTAAGCATTAGTTTAAGTTTTCTATGTACTTTTTGCTGATAGTATGCAATGTTCCCCTTTTATACTGAATACAGACCTAGGTGAGTAGAGTTGCACAAATTGATATGATAGTTTTTAGTTATTAATGTAATTAGTCATATAAAGGTGATATAGTCTTCTTCGACATTGAAGAATTAAGTCTGGCTGAACTGATCTGTTGGAGTCATACATAACCCTTCATCTAGATGTAGTTCATTAGTGAACTAATCCGTTACAGTTGAACAGGTTACGTAATTTTTAGAATTTCACCAACTTGCCAGTTTCAGCTGTACCACCAGTCATAAACTCTCTGTTGCTTAACACTGATAACCTTTTCCTAGTTCTATTCCAGTTTTTTTTCCGGTATCCTGCATCTTTCATTTGTGTATATATTATACCTTACTGGAGAAGATGCATGACCTGTTGTATCATTTGATAGGATATGGGCAAACAGGCAGTCTGCTGCAAGGTCAAAAGAAAGGAAGATGAGATACATAGCAGAGCTCGAGAGGAAAGTACAGATTTTACAAACTGAAGCAACATCTCTCTCAGCTCAGTTGACTCTGTTACAGGTTGGTTGAATCTGTGTGTAGGGTTCTGCAGACCAAATTTAACTCTAGAAAATGATGTTTGTTAACATATTGCAAGTTTATGGTTTTAATCTTTTTACTTTTTTCTCCTGTTCAGAGAGATACTAATGGCCTGAGTGTTGAAAACAATGAGCTGAAACTGCGAGTACAAACAATGGAGCAACAGGTTCACCTACAGGATGGTGAGTATCTAACCTACGAGCTGGTATTTCTTATCATTGTTTTTGTTTCTAACTTTTTTCATCTCTTTACTATCTTGACGCAAATTAAATTTGTCAACGAGTCAGGATCTGTGAGTGTAGGATTGTGTGTCATAAAAAGCTTAAATTCATTTCACATGAAGGACTTGATTGCATCTTGTCATATTAAGTTTGATAACTTGCTGTATTTCATCAAAGCGTGTGTTATTCAGTGTGTTGTGAGTTCTCTAAGTTGAGCATACTAGATATATCTTTCTCAAATCCTAGGAAATCTGATGCAGGTGTGACACTGAAGTTATGTAATTGTATATGCACTGCCATCTTAAAATTGAACCTATAAGCCAAACGCTCACATTCATACAGTCACGGATCCAGAATCTGGCATAACAATACACTTTCAAGACTCATTACCATTTCTCTGGTTAAGAAAGACTGTATAAATATTTTGTCCACGTTGGGTTTTTCGCTGCCTTTGTTGTGAATGCTGCTAATTGATTGATCTTCTTTCTCTATTCGACAGCATTAAATGATGCCTTGAAGGAGGAAGTCCAGCATCTTAAAGTATTAACAGGACAAGGTGTTTCAAATGGTGCATCAATGATGAACTATGGTTCTTTTGGATCAAACCAGCAATTCTATCCCAATAATCAGTCGATCCACACTATGTTAGCCTCACAACAATTCCAGCAGCTCCAGATCAATTCACAGAAA